GTTGGAGGCAATGCGAGGACCGCTCGATGAAATCGAATCTAAACCACTGCGCACTTTCGATGAGTTGCTACGCGACCTGGAGTCATTGAAGGTTCTTGTCAATGATTTATGCTTTTTAGCTGTTCTTATTCCAGATCCCTGTTTTTTCATTATGTGCGTTCGTTAACGTCGGATGTTACGTCTCACTGATTGTCTTATTTCTTTGCCAAATATCCTCTTTTCTGTTTGCCGTGTAGTTTTTTTAAGTCTATTAATACCTTAGTCCTTTTCTTCCCCGTTTTTGAACCAATTTTGTGATTAGAACTTCTCACTGGCAAAAATCTTTTGGTTTTCGGAAATCATGGTTGTGCTTCAACAAAAATTTGACCGTTACCGTTGGACAGCGTTGACAATATCAACAATCAAATAACACCTTGCTTTTAAGAATCTAAAAGGTTGAATATTCGCGAAATAATTGAACGGATAGCACCAATATTCAATGGCCGAAACATTTAGTGCAGTTTTAAGCCTGTACAATGTGAAAACTGGCTGAAAATTTGTGAAAATTAGGTGTTCTTTCACACTGTATCATGTATATCCAGAATCTCCAACAAAGGAGCACTGCCCATGTCAATTAACCGTTTCGCCTTGTCTGGCTTCTTTCGGTCGATGGTTACAAATTTTGGAGAGCTCCCGAATTTCTGTGGCGACCGACCCAACTAAATCCTGTTCACAATAATTGCAACATATGAATGAAATGAGGATTGCGCTACTAAGCCACTGCGTTGGAAAGTACCTGTACAATTCGGCAGTGTCTCAGAAAGGGTTCATTATGATGGAGGAAAAATGCTTTTTGACAGTATCAGACTTTTAATAAAAAACATAGAGAATGGAATTGCTACCACCAAAGTATTATGCTATTAACAGTATCAGTCATAGTTTTCAACAGTACTAGACCATTATAATTCGTCCATTGTGAATTAATTGTTGGTATATTAAAAACAAAATGAGCTAGATAATGTAACAAGAAGGGCTAGATCGATAAAGGGTTAGTTTTCCAACTGGAATGGGAGGGCAATTTTTATTTTGTTCCTGGGCTCAAATCTATATTTGTTGAATAAAAGTGTGATGTTGCATTAAAATTAAGACTAAATATGACCCCATAAATAAGCTAAATTCTCAGTATTCTAACATTCTGAAATCAATCACTCTCGAAATTAATAGTTTCCGTAGTAATTTTTTATTAATGATACTGATAAGGTGAACGAAATGTATTGCGAAACGTTGTTCTCTATGCATGTGTATTAGTGGTGGTTTCCGAACGGTATTTCGGTTCGATCAGAATCCGACCAGACAATAATGAAAAGTACTGAGCTATGTTAAATACCGAGAATCCAAAAAAGTGTTCAATCTAAAAATTCGATCGGGTCCTACCGACCGAATTTCGGTTGGTTATGATCAATTATATATGCTGAGGATGATCAACACTGCCGTAGTGATCAGCACTAAATGTTTTGATTAATGCTGTAAAGAATCGCTCTGAGCTATAATCCACGTATAAAATTTTTCTTGTTGGACATGCTCAGTAGAAACGTGATTAATTATTCAACATTCGCTTTTCTCCATCTCATCTTGTTTTTACCAGAATCAATGACACCGGCATTTCAGGAACTGTGTGCAAAGTGGTCGCTAATTGAGTATTTATCGCCACGCTTATTATCACTTAGTTCGGAGCTCCATCCGCTCTTTGTAGCTTTGCAAGATGCTCGAGTATTTGCAGGCGATATGGAGGCAGTAGGAAATCACCTTGAGGTACCCTTGTTATTATGTTTTTGCTGCTTTATTGGCTTCATGGATCAAAATTGAAGCAATATGAAGCTTCAGCCTAAAACCGCGACTTCTTGATTCTATAAACGGATTCTATCAGATTGTACTGATAAAGGTAGTACTTTTAATGTTTATGGATTATACTCGTTCAAATCACCTAGCATGTTTATGGATTATAATCAAACCGCATTCAGCAAGTTGCTGATCCCGAATTTGTTAGTTATGTTTTGTTCTACTTATCTCCAAAAACCGTTTACAGAACTTGCTTGATTCAATGTCTGCCGAGTTCCGAGTGCGTGAAGAACTGGTTAAGTCGTTGGCTGTTATCGAAAAGGAATTAGACGATATTCACGCTTCATTTATTGGAAGGCGAATTTCTTCACGTCATCTTTCGGTACGCTGCACTGCTTTCTTACGATATGCATTTCTAGTGTTTCCAGAGAGCACCCTCCAACTCTCGATTAAATTTTAACGTAAGCTTCTGAACCTCAAAATTTGTTGGCATGCATTCGGTCCAACGCATTTCGACGTACTGTCTGTCGCGGTATTTGTGAGGAATTGTTGATTCCATTCAGTCGGCATTTCAAATCCTATACAAAACGCATATTTATAGGAAACTCAACAGCAGTTAGAAGAAATTCGCATTCATTTAACCCGTCTCAGCAAAGATATCGATGAGTTCAACGAGAACCGACGCCACATAATCAAAGAAAGTGATATTTCGACAATGAGCATGTTTGAACGTCTTGATGAAATCGAAAGGGAACTGAAACTGGTTGAAATTGAAGAAGAACAGTCTGAATATGATATTGATGCAGCTGCTGAGGTACTCGCTGCAGTTTATCGAGATCGCGATCCAAGAAGTGTCATGAGGGAACAAGGTATTCCTTTTGATGACCAAAGTAGCAGCGATAGTTGCAAATCGGACCTTGAAATAGAGGTTGAAGAGGGTGGAGCAGCAGACGCTGCACTTTCACCCATCCCAGATGACCCTGCACCAGCTCTGTCTCATTACGAACGAAATCGTTCGCGATGGAGGCGCATTTTGCGAACAGCTCTACCACTGCAGGTAATTTGATAAATTCAATACAATGCTCAAAACTCATTTCATCTTGGCGCATACTACGAAAAATCGCTGACTGCAGTTAATTTTAGCAATAAGAAACACTTATATTACACGTTGTTTTCCATACTTACATTCAAAGCTGCGTTAGTTCTCAACTGTTGAAACTATATACCTCTCTTTGATAGAGATAGTTTTGCAAATATTGTTTAAATAGTTTTGTAGATACTTCCGTTTACACTTATCGTTCAACTCTGACTCACTTGTTCGACAAATTCGACTTATCTTTATTTTTTTGGACCAGGAGTTCCTCTTTAAATGAAAAAAAATACTGCTCATTACAGGCGATGTTGGTACTATTGTTGGGAGCTGCATGTCTTGTACCACATTGCGACGATGAATATTGCTGTCAATTACTCAACAATTTTGCAAGAAGCTTCGACCCCTCTCTCGATTTTGTGAACGGGCCCCCTCCGTTTTAGATTTACTTAAATACTTTATGATCTTATGTAAATAAATAACCGGTTGAAATAATAAATTTTTATTGTGTTTTTCATCATTTTGAACATAGCAGTTCCAACAAACTCAACCTGGATCAATTATTTAAGACACTTCTTTGTAAGCGAACACTCATATATATGTATACCATTTCCAACAAGAGAACACTGACAAAAATGAAATTGATTTTCTATAGCAAAAGAAAACAAACAGTTAGAAACAACAAATAACTGATTTGGCACCAATCTGGGCTAATAATGAGCGGATATGCTTTTCACATCACATAACTTTTTAAAAAGCCTTGTTATCAGAATATTTTTCGTTTTTATAAGCCCTAAGGACGCATTATTTCGAGTTCGTTAACAGTCTTGGTCGTTTTCGTATCGAGCCGGCCTGGTACGAATCGCAGTTCGAGCATCTGCGAACGTGAATAGCGAGCGACATCGGAAGACACCAGACGTGCCAAGTTAGGTGTGCTTCCGGTTTTACCCGTTGAGCGCCACTCGCTAGAATTAATATGTAGCTGAATTAGGCGTTGCCAGTTAATCGCATTCGTCATGAATCTTCAGTTCTTATGAAAACGAGATGCCTGACATTATCAATAAATTATCATATGAGTGAGGACTTCAGCTAAAACACTATTAAGAATCGAGAAATTTATGTAAGTAAGATCGAACAACAGTCAGCTAAAGAAACGAATGAAAACGATTGCAGATCTTACTTCGTAACATTCGCGCGGTTAGAAGAAGATGACGAAAGCGGCATCGATTTGCGACGTTCTTTGCGTAATTCGCGCTCTTCTGCTGACAGTTTCGAATGACTACGTCCTGCTCGCGTCAAATATTCACTCAAAGCTGCTTGAGCTGCCTGAAAATGCACTCAAGCATTACCAACTTTCTTGCTGCTTCAGATCGATTGTTTCGATTGCAGCTTCATCACGTTCAATTTTTAATAAACCTAAAGAGGTTGGTTACGGATGAGCAGTGAATTTTCAAGAATGCACTGATGGCACTCATATTTTGAAAGGGGCGAACAGGATACCTGGAGGACCTGTGGATCAGCACAAGACAGCTTCAAGGTGCCATCTTGAGTTGTTTCAATTGATATTCCAACATCTTCTTCCTCATTGTCATCTACTTCTGGTCCACCGTTATCTGACTGAAGAACATTGTATTCTTTGTTCGAAAATATTAACGTGAAACATGCTGACGTATTAACGTGAAACATGCTCAAGATTATTTTTTTGGCAGCCAATACGGATTACAGACCTTTTCTTGGAAACTAGATGAAGTATTGCACATCAATTAGATAAAGTGATAGGTGAATAATAATTAATTTCCAACGAACGCGATTCGGTGATACATTACGGCGTATTGTTTGTTCAATTAAACGTTTCGCATAGTCTATTGATTCTTGAGTGCTACCCGTTATAGTCAGTGTACGATCCTTACTCTTCGGATCGACCTTTTGAAATGAAATTACCGTTTTGCTCAACTCTTCTACCACTGCCACACGACGTCCTTTCACACCCATAACTGCAATATAACGTTGCTGTTTGTTTTCTATGGTAACACATGAACACAATGAATTGTACTTCACTGCATCCTAAGCGTTTTAAAATTCGTTACATTGATGCTTCATACATTGCAAATAAGTTATGAATGATGCAGAAGTCTGCTCTGAATTTCCGCTTCCATCTGCCACTGAATTGGAACAATTAGGTGAGGAGGCGAGTCAGATGAATATTATAGTTTCAATCAATTGACTATAAAAAACCGTCTAAAAACGCTTCTTTATCTTACTTTTTCCCGAATCGCTATTTCGAATGAGCATTTCATCCCGTAGCTGTGGAGTCCTGTTTTGAGGTGTTTTTAGCTTTAACTTCGATGATTGAGTTTTGTTGGCTTTTGCCCAAGCCTCCATATCGATTGGTGAAACTTGAGGAAGAATGTTTGTTGGTGGCACTACACCGGGAGCAATCATTGGCCTTGCCCATCCTCCTCAAATATGAGATGAATGCTTGCAGTTTTGCTCAAAAGTTGTGATATTCCTTTCAGTCAACCAAACATGTGATGAAACTCATTTGCTAAATAAACACCTCATGGGATGCTGAACGGCCGTTAACTTGAAAGCAAAACAGAAGAATTTGTGATAATAACAGGAATGGGGAGAATGGTTTTTAATAAACCTAGAAGGAACCTGCAGCCGGAATGAGATAGAAACTGGCTTGCGTTGGCTGAGGAGCAATCACTTGTGTTGTTCCCATATCGCTACCGACGTACAACGGTGGTGGTGGAGGTGCATAGTTGCCGAAAGGATTCACTGGGATGGCACCGAACGGAGGAGCGCTTACTGGACCTGGTTCTGTTCAAAATAAAATATTATCTATCAGTAAAGTGATTGAGAATTATCATCAGTTAAAACTTTCAGTTGTTGCCTGTGTCGATGGGATCTTGTTTACTGTCAATTGAACCATACGAAATGCAGTAACCGATTTGTGGAGGTTGTTCAGGACGATTAAGATAGTATTGAGTATGAGCTAGACTGGGTCTCCATCCCATCGCACGCAGCTCAACCAATTCCATCATCTTTAATCGACAAGGAGTTCCAAGCTGTCCGTTATCTCGACAGCAAGCCTGACGCAACGATACAAACACACGATTCAGTTCATCTGTAGCATTATTCAATTTATACAATCGCGTCCTTTTCAATATCAATTTGGGAAATGGATTTCGCTTTTTGAGCAAAATGCATCGCTATTGATGGTGTCTTGAGTAGCGTTCGGATGCTTACGATTCAACATGCTTTTTTCTGCCATAGGTTTCAAACATCTTATTTTGATGAATGCATACCACACGAACTGCTGGCTGAATATGGTGAGATCACTATTGGCAGGTGCTCAAAATTTGATTCGGGAAATGTCGTACTGAATACCAAATAAATGACTGTGAAACATATCGGAGAGACCGCCGAAATTAGTTTCGGCAATCGGCAGCCTGATTCTGTTTTTGGCTGAAATTTTCAAGGGATCCCGTGCTGAATGCAAAAATTCCGGTACGGCGGGTTGCCATTCACTGAGACTTTCGGCGATGGGGCCCCCGTGACGATTTCGGCACTGAGTGAGATCAGTCCATTCGAATGCTGCCATTTTGAGTATAAACGTAAGTTCATAAGGAATGTATCTTTTTCGTGATGAATTCTGAACTACAGGTGTCATTTTCTAGTTTGCATATTTTTCAATTCACTAGCAGTTACTTTTCATCCTGCTTTACAAACGCAACTGAAGTGTTCCCAAATTCATTATACTACAGCAACGGAACACTTGCAAAAATCGAATGGATCGCAGATCACAGATTACATATCATCAAGTCTTTTTTTTTCACAGACATCAATGAAATATTTCAGTTATGATGAAAGATCTAATTAAAAGTGGACAACGTTAATCAATATGCTACAGTCGATACTCGATACTTCTTTAACCAAGGCGTTTACATTGATAACTTTAGAGCAAGACAAAAAGTACTGACGACAGTTGTTAATAATGTTCGTTAATTTTGAACTTTCACCGGTTGAATTCTCGGTATGAATAGAAATTACTATCATTGATTTCCTTGTATTGATATTTTTAAAATAAACCCGCACAAACATCACCTCGACGTTTTGTTGCCAAAATGTAAAATGTGGTTAAATGCTGGCATAATTTATACAACTTCCGTTCGATATTTTTTTAAGAATTTCGGCAGACTAACGTGCCTCGAGGAAAATTTTGTCGAATTCACTAATTAACTCGTCTTGAGAAAAGCATTGCTGACACGTATTTCACTGAAATGCTCAAATTTGATGCAATCGCTGCCTAGTTAAGTGTAAAATTAACGGCAATAACTAAAGATTAACGAAACTGCACCTACCTCTTGATCTGATGGTCAGGAAGTAATTTTCAAAGGAACGGTGCTTTAAGGTTTAGTATAATGAAGCATGATGTTGATCATAATTTCAGTTGATGTGGCTTTCTTAAATGCGAAAGATAATTGTCAGGTAGAGAGCTCTACATAAGTTTTGACTCTAGATGATTTTGTGATGCGTAGTCGATAACTTTCAAAAAAAAAAACTTGCGAACAACAAGCCGTGTTCTGTTGCTAGACATGCGTTTATTTTTTCTGTAGTATTAATGATATGGGTGGTCCTCTGCACGGTTTTGAATTCTTGAATCCAGTATTCATCGTGTAGTGGTTGAAAAAATGATGGTTGTGAGCCAATTTTCAAAATGAACCAGAAAAATAACAATAAGTGAAATCTTTAAACGAAGCAAATTGAGAAGTTAATAGAAAATAATTCGTTAGCTTAGCGATAAAAAAACAAAACAAGATTGAATATTTCCGCTCACAAACAGTGGTAGTTGGTTTAAAATGATATTCAAAAATTTGGATACGATACAATAGATATTTTTGAAGCGATAATGAAATTCGATCCATAGTGACCTTAGGAATGCATCTTATTACGCTTTTCAAACAACTAATTTGTGAGTTAAATTTCGCATTTTCTGATCATTTTTTAGAGGACATTTCTCGTTCCCTTATCATTCAGTGGTTCATCTTCTCTGATTCATTTCTCAAAAACTCAACATTTGAGTTTCTTTTTGAAGGCAGATAACGAACATCGGAGATACATAACGAAAATCACCTGTGTATGTTATTTTCGTTGTCTTTATGAAACACAGAACCATCTTTAATGAAATTCAATGATGGTAAAAAGAACAAGTCATTTTCAGTAACGAGTGTGAAATATCACTCTACGTTCTTCATCAGCAAACTGAGTGTGATAGGATGTATATACTACAATTTAAGTTTTCTATGAACAGCGGTCGTTTTTAGAGAACATTTTTCAATTGAGTTGTACTGTTTGTAGTCTCTGCTTTTTGTTCTGAAGTAGTGTTTTCGCTGAAATGTCGCACAGACGTATGATGTTTATATTGGATGCATTGATGTATTGCTCGGAAGATCAATCAATAATCGATGGCTGTCTGTCTACACTAACCATTTAACGGCAAGAGAGTGAAATTGTTTGCGAAAAGCAACGCGCTGAATTCGATGAGATACATTCGAAGAGCCACACTACTATTCAAGCAACTAGCTTGAATCAAATGGCATCCAACCGAACACATCCAATCAACAAGTCTTCGTATCTCTCCTATGTAACCAACACTCAAATAAATGATTTATCGAGTTCAAAACTTATTCACTACATTTCGTTCGGTGCAATCAATCGTTTCACATTGCACTGTTATAATACGCAACTGAAATCGTTTCTCCATCGATTGCGATGCCTTCATCAAAAGCACTATAGATGATCAACTACATTCAATAATCTCTACAACACTGGTTTTATAATCTCATTCGTGTAAAAAAAGCATAGTGAATGTACAATAGCTGAGTATGTGTATTCAAAACATATTTGTTGAATCAGCACACGCTTCATTTATCCACCAATTCTACTAGCTGTTCCATGAAATATGCAGTTCGAAGGCAAGAGTACTAACTCAATCATACAAATACGCCTAGCATTCATCGATAACACTTACTTTTATGCGTTTGTTCAAGAAGCTGTCCGGAAAACTTTAACTGCTGACAGAGAATGAAGATTTGATTGGCCAATTGTGCGTTGAAAAGTCCTCCTTTTACTGAGCCATTTATTTGGCTCATCAAATGTAGAAGTTGATCTAAACGAAATTATACACAAATCTTGGAACAGATAACCACTCTCACGTAATGCGGATTCCTCGGATTGATGTTAAGGACCGATACAGATGTTATTAAATGAGTCTGAGTTCTCAGTGTAGAGGAAGACTTTCAACCAGTGACGGTTTGGAATATGGCTGATGGCTACAACTTTCTGAAGGTTTTATGAGTCACACAAACTCATACTGCAAACGACGACCAAAATGAGAGAGTAAAACGTACATCAGTAACATATACTAGTTGAGTTCATCGGTGAGACGCATTTGATAAGCATATACCATTGCAAAAAGACCGATGAATCAGACTTATCATTTGCGAAATCGGCTGGTATGAATAATTCTGAGAAAAATGCCAGATGAATTAAAACATTGTTGAGCTGGGATTTTCAGCCAAAATTTATGAATCTTACAAAGGTGAACGTATGAAATGATAAGTTAAAGAAACCTACCGACGGTAAGTTGTTCATTATGAGGGCCGACATGTTTCGAATTGAACCAGTCGTTCGAATAAGGAGCTTCGCAAGCATATGAGTTCATAGCTGATTGTTCGCTCGTTCGAGAGAAAGTCGCGCCGTGCGGGCACACTTTGCAAATGGCAGTGCGTTTACGTTGCTCTTACGGCTGGCTGGCTCATCTCTCTATTACACATTGTAACCCGTTTGTGAGAGCGGAGCGCTTATGAACGACCCACACTTCGTTCACATGTTCAATATACATGGCCTATCTGTTGTGGGTGATATCATCCACTGTAAATCATACCTTGCCATTATAAATCCTATATCTACCTTCATAATGTGAATATATTACTTCACGAAGAATTCAGCATATGCGATAAGCTAACAGCAAGCATTTTTCACATTAGACGTAAAATGTCCTTGTTCGGATGTCTCTCTAAGCTTTTTAAATGTATGATTACCAGCTGAATTATTCGAAAGCGTCTTTTTCTCACCGTTTTCTCAATAGAACAATGCTACTCATGGGAGGAGAATTTGAGGATATCGAAAATGGAATTGAGGATGTAAGCAGATCATTGTGGATTATCTTTTCGGTAGTCTTGCGATAGTTGAGCTAAAGAGCCAAATGAGGACAAACATTTTCGAAGTCCGAAATCTCTGATCAGAAGGTTAATGCCTGCTTTCAATGAACAATTCGCATCTCTCAATCATTTCTTTTGTATTGATGTCTCTCCCTCATCCATACTACTATTATTTCGTCACACATCTACCTATGTGAGCCATCAAATGCTTTTTTAAAATATATCTGCAACAAATGTTAATAATAACTCTATCGATGACACAGATGAAGTTTGGTTTCTAACTTTGAGAGGCTCTAAATGACCGCAGGCTTAAGAAGATGCCGTCCTATCTGCCCATTAGAATAGACACTGCTCGGCGATTGGGCCTCGAAAATTATAAAAACATTCATCACCATCAAGCTCTTTTTTTTTGCAGATGAACCTTTCCATTTATGCTAGATGAAGATCACGATCTATCCCATATCATTCTGCATTGAAGATCTACCACAATGATTCGTGCATGCACTAATAACCGGACCAGCGGAATTAGAAGGTGTGGTGTGTAGTTTTGTGACAACGTTGTTTAATCACTATGCACCTGACATGAAGTTGATTTAATGGTAGATCGTCGACAACCTATTGATTTGAGGAAATATTTTGGCTAATTCTTATATTTCCCTGTCGTCTTCGTTTCTTTATAACATCTTCTTTGCCGTCTTATTCAATAATCTCATTCAATTCCATAGCTTCGATTTTGCAAACATTACCCCCATAAGTGTTGAATAAGGCCTTTATTCTATAGAGGACTCTATAGAATGCTTGTTTGATTGCAAGGTAATTTTTTACGAATTATTCTTAGCAAGCTTGTTGCTTATTTAATTGATTTCCTGATCTTCTTTCTGATTTGTCGCAAGAATTTAATAAGGTATTTGAAGGGAAAGGAAAATTATGGTTATGCAAATTGTTGAGGAGAACAATTACGATTTGCCATACATCTGTATGGAGCATGGAGCATAAGAGTGCAAGCAAACCACTCCTTGAGTTTGAATTTGTTCATTTTGATGTGACCTGTCAATGAAGTTTGCTCGAAATAGGGTTAATAATGAGTTGATTACAATTATAAATGATAGTTGATGATTTCAACATTCCGCCTCGAAAACATTAACTAGTTTAGTTATTTACCTTCAAAATTTAAGACATCGTTCACGTTTTTCCAGTTTTTGTACAGTGCATTTACTTGACTATTTTTATCATTGTTGCATTGCAATCACATTTGACCATAAATGAACGGCTCGATTCTTTCCATTTTCAGAAACTATTTTTATCCGTCTTACCATGTCTTCGGTAATTCAAGTCGCAACTTACTTCGGCAATCGTGCAATTTCAGTGGTGTGCATAACCCTTGAAAGACACGAAGCATTGTTTGAAAAACTCACGGCAACAAGAAGCATTTGCTCTTGTTATTAATACCCTAGATCTAGCAACTCAGAGAAGTTAAAAAAACAAATAATTCTCTACTAAAATTTGCTTTCGTTCAGTACAGGAAGATACCTGAAGACGAACACATGCATCCAAAAACTTATTCTTCCGATAGGTATCAACAATAACTCGACTGACTTTCAAAAGAGAACCATTCAGCCAATGATCAAGGCTTTGATCATATCAGTTTCTGATTCAATGGAATGAGGTGATACCTTCAAAATTCACATATCAATTCACCAAAATCAAAGAAAGACAATCCCATAACGAGAAGATTGAGAGACTGTCTTTATGAGTAAATCATTGCACGATAACTTGCATAAGACTGTGTTCTCAGTGGATTCGTATTGCACAGATGCAACTTCGAATCTCTGGATGCAACATCACATATGCTGTCATACTTACAATTAACTGATTTTATAGCTGAACTGCATTTCTCGATAACGCATCAACATTACAACTCATTTTCACATTATTCAACAAATAAGTTAACGATAAACTCATTTCCATAATACACCAACAATCAATTCGAATCAGATCAATAGAATTTTTGAGTCAGTAGCATATTTTCTGAACGAAACGGTGTACATTAAAACCATCAACGATAATACCTTCGCATTTCGAATGCTAAAGTTAGATAGATCTCATATGCAAATCATCTCCATACATGAAATTTACATGAATTATTGATTTATCGTCGATTATTCCTAATAATCAGATGATTAAATGAGTTTAAATGGTCAAAGTGAAGTTCACTGCATTTGATAAAAAATATTATTGCAACAAATCATCACTGTATGATAAATTAACACAGTTGCAAACCGCATCTTTATGTTCCAATCAATTTCCATTTACAGAAACAAATTTTGCCCCAATCTATCATGAGGCAGATATAGAACTAACAACGACAAACAAGTGGCCATCTAAAACTGAAATAGTCAAAAAGAAACGATCGCGTTCAACCGCTAACCAGCAACCATCACAAAAGTGGCGTAGAAAATAACACATCAACTTAATACTCCATTTCATAGGCATTAATATAATTCGTATCAAATATGCACTGAAACTCACCGAAATTTTCCTCATACCCCAATGCTTCAAACAGCAACTCCAGACAACAGATTCTCAGGAAATTTGGAATTCTGAGAGACAGTATTAACAAAGGCAATAAGTGATAAGACATCTGTCTTGACCTCGGTGTTATTGATATTATTTTAAAAATCTATGCAAACAACTAGAATTTTATACGGTAAACGATTAGTTTCAAATCTGAAGCGAAGAAGTGCTTTTTTATATCATTGTAACAAGGTTGAAAATAACCGTATCATGTGGACAAAAACAAATGGGTGAAGAAAACGATTTACAATAACAGAAGCATATACCCAGCCAAGACAAGGAACAGCAATTATACGTGTGAATGTCTGTCTCATTTTGTTCGCTCAATCAGTAATCGCTTTGGTTAAATGAATGCTGTGACGTTCACTGGCATGCTCAATCAACACTGCTGCATCACTGCACACTTCTTGACACATTGAACATTGCCAACTATGTTCTTTTTTTGCTGCAAACCATTTTTATTAATTTATTCGCATGATATAATAGAATGTTTCTTTGAATTCACAAATTATTCCTTCAAGAATTGTGCATGACACAACTTCCAACCAAAAGAAAGAGACTAGAATAACTCTGACCTCCTGAACCAACAACAGGTAAAATTACTGAATGAAACACGAGATTCTAATGATAACAGACCTGCTCCAGTAATTTTTGAACATGGCGCTTTACGATGTTCGCGAAACTCCTCAAAATCACTAGTTACAAATCGACAGTTACCACAAATCAACGTATCGGCCATGCCTAAAATAGCATTTCCCATTTCTTAGTGAACATGCCATTAAAATTCTCTTCTCGGGAATTAATGCACTTTCGAAACAAAATGAAAAGTAATATATATATGCCCATAGAACAGAACGCTTTCTACGGTAAGAAAAAACCGATTTTGCAATGAAGTTAGGTGGAGATGAAAAACGGTACGACGAATCACACAAAAATTGCTGCTGTAAATTCGTATGGATAAAATTATTAACACAAACGGATATCATCATAATATGCTCATTTCAGAATTTACCACCAACAAAGATTACACCAAACAAGCAAGAATAAAAGAATGAATATCAAGTAGACTACCGTGTTAGAACTGACCGTTCTTATAGAGGTTTGTATTTTGCGTGATATCAATGATAGCCAGATTACGATTTCGTTCATTTTGCAGTGGCGCTGTATATTCGTCAGTGCGTTCTTTTTTTGCAGCGGCCACAGGCCAAACTTCCGCACCAC